GTGGTACGCGCGGATAGCTACGTCATGCAGCAATAGAGGAATTGTCGGAAGCGCTCTTATCTAATCCGTGTGGAGGTTGTTTCGAATACCTCCACTGTAGCTCTGCGAGTTGTAGGAGGCGTATAATAGAGATCCCAGTGCCTGGAGGATATAAATACGGTGGCCTTTCCCTCCAGGTTGGGGGAGTCTCGAACCTGAGACAGTAAAATATGGTCACGAGTACCGCGGGAGTCGAACCTGAGAATGACTGGGTTGGAGAGGACCAACAGTAATTGTAAATTACAGACACATCCTCTGGTGAGAGAGGGTGTTACATAAGGACTATGACCGCAAGTCTTCAGTTGAAAAAGAACTTGCTGGTCGTGAGTCTCAAGGGAGATGTCACAAAGACGAACTGATTGGCGATAAACCTCCAGTCGTAAAATAACTCTGACTCTGGATCTGCCGGTGTTCTCTGTGGCTCCATGCAGAAGGTCTCTCTGGAGATCCAGACAAAAGACAGTCAGACTACAAAGTCTTTAGCCTGCAGTTAGCAGCTGGGAGACAGATCCGTCGGAAATCGTCGTAGACGGTCGCCCCTGGCGGAGGAGCACGATCGTTGTAAGCCGTTGCGTAACAGCGCGAATTCTAGTAGTGAGATAGCCGCCAAACAGCGAAGATGGAAGCTGAGGAATCTGGAGCATTGGCCGCCGTTACCAGAAAACCGGAAAAGGCACCGCAGACAGAAGATTTATGGGTGCTGCAGTGAACTGTAGCGCAGGAATCACCGATAGCGCTATAGTTAGTTGTAGTTACGATCTGCAAGAGTCTAGTAGATCCGACTGCCAATCTAAACACCTTCTAATATCCCTTAATCATGTTACAGTATTCACATTATTCTCCATCTTACTTACCTTGACCTTCATGAGCCATCATTGGATGTAGTACATATATAAATAATGACAAGGTCATTGGATTTTTCAATTGACCTAAACATTCCAGCCGCACTGTGGCCCTGGGGTCGACTCAGCCTCTAACAGAAATAAGTACCAGGAACCTTCCTGGAGGTAAAGGTGCGGCCGACGCGTAAGGCTGACAACCGCAACGCCATCTGTGAGCTAATTATGTAGAAAATGTGGGATCCTCGACGTCTCACAATTGTGTGGGCCTCCAGGGCATGCTACTGGGATGGCTTAGCATATTTTTTTTCTGTGGCGCTACAGCCCCAATTTGGGCCTAGGCCTACCTCCATGAAACTCTCCGATTCACTTCGGTTTACTAGATCTTACACATTCGGTAGGACTCCTTGGGCGAGTGATCAGCTCGTCGCAAGGTCTCTACCTGTAGACAAACACAGAAAAACGCACACAAACATCAATGCCCTGGGTGGGATTCGAACCCACGATCCCGGCTTCCGAGCGAGCGAAGACAGTGCATGCCTTAGAACGCTCGGTTACCGTAACCGGCATGGCTTAGCGTATAGGAAGAGATAAAATGGTTTGCATTACAGACTGCAATATAAAGTAATGTATATGGAATGGTTCTAACAGGCTGGCACAATCAGACATTTAGTAACAATTCTGACGCGCCTACTCGTGTTTCATAACTATCCCAATAACCGCTGAAAACATAAAAAAGCTGTGCTGGGAACAAAATATGTGTATTCCTCAGTAAATTTCGTGACAAATTTTCTTTTTTCAACCAGATAAATATTTGGCGGATTCCCTGGGCTTGTGATTGGGCAGACGCACTTGTAGGTCTTCACGTAAATTGTCCTCAGTTTTTGTCCACTTCTGACCAAAATTTGAATATGTCGATGACAAATTTTTGTTAACACCTCCTAAAGAAAATATCATGAAAATTAATTCAGTGGATCTTGAGATGTTACGTGCAGAGAGAAAAACAGACCTGGCAAAGATCATATTGCTTTTTTTTTTTTTTTTACAAATTTTCGTTATGAACTCGTCAAAATATTTTTTTAAACTATACTGTGGAGTATACAACAATCACATAAAATCCCAGACAATTTCTTGAAGCATTGCTATCGTCTGTCTTTATTCAAATATCATCATCATCATCATTATTATCATCATTCAAAATACAGTCCTTTTTAAGCCACATCATTCTTCGGAAGTATCTGCTAAATTTGTCTGTAGACAAATTTCTTTGGATTTCACAACAATAATTTTTACAGATGAAGGTTGTCAGCCTTGTGTCAGCTGGTCTGGAGGACCAGGGCTATCTATTTATGACCCACACTAGCAGGAAGGCTCAGATATTTATCAATATTTAATGAGAATTATATGATGCTAATAATATAGTAGGAGTTTATAGAATGTTCCATATTTACGGAGTGCGTCAATGAATCGGGCGATTTTAAAAACGTTATAACAGTAAAATATTGCATTTATTTGGTATTAGCACACTTGAATACACTATAAATATAGAAGCATTTTGTTTCTCTTAATTAACATACTGATGATAGAAGTATATTTCCCACAAATAACATCCGACAAATGGCCACCACTCCACTGTAGGCACTCGGTGAGTCTCTTCCTAAACTCACTCATTACTCTTTGCAGCATCTCTACGGGAATTCGTTCAACTTCTCCCCGAATTCGGTGTTCAACACCTGAACTGTATGGGGTGCCGGAGCTTTGAAAACTTGGGATTTCTGACAAACCCAGAGAAAAATTCACATGCGGAAAGATCAGGTGATCTGGCTGGCCATATGATGTCCCCATATCTGGAGATAACATGATCAGAAAACAGATTATTCACAACTGCCATGGAAGTACTTGCGGTGTTGCATGTCGCCCCATCTTGCTGGAAAAAAATGTTTCTTCCTTGACTGGAAGGCGAGCAAGTGCAGGAGCTAAGAAGCTCCAACATGTGAACGTAACGTGGTCCAGTCACAGTTACAGCCCTTTCCCACTCATCTTCAAAGAAGTACGGGCCAGCAATTCCAAACGAAGATATCGCGCAACGTACTGTGACTTTGGAACTGTGAAGTGGTCTCTCATGAATTTCTTTGGGGTTTGTGGCTGACCAATAGCGGACATTTAGCTTAACAAGACCCGATAAATGGATATTGAGATTCATCGCTCATCAGTAAGTTGTTTACGACATCTTGGTTTTGATTAATTAACTGCAAAAAAGTCTCGCAGAAATCAACTGTTTTCATAGTCGTGTTCGTGTAGTGTATGAGTAATTTGAATTTTATAGGGCTAGAAGTGGAGATCTTTGTGCAAAATCCGCCAACGCTGGCTTCGGACAGCCCGAGTGATGTACGTAGCGTGGCGACGCGGAGACCGGCGTGGACCTCGTTCACTGGCTTCTCTCACTGCCGCTACAGTCTCGGGTGTACGTGCTGTTCTTACGCTACCGCCTTTCTTCTTCAGTGTAGAACCAGTAGCCTCAAAGTTCTGAACCCAGGTCTTGATGGCATGGGCAGATGGAACAGCACGATTGCGATGAATACCAAACTCTCTTCGAAATTCATGCTGAGCGATCACGAAACTGTCACCGTTTTAGTAAAATGAATTCACAGCAAAAGCACCTTGTACTCCAATCTATGCCTCCATTGCAACTAAAACGCTTTGAAGTAGGCTGCTGGGTGGCAGGACTGGCATCCCCCCAACTCCAAAACGTCCTGAAGGAAACACCACTGCGAAATCGCCCGATTCATTGACGCACTCTGTACAAACGAACGGTAGATTATAACGAGAAACATATACGGAATGTCCTAGGAGGAAAGGTCAGTATTCTGGGAGGTCATAGTATCGGGCAGTCTAAGCAAGCAAGTGTATATATGTATGTGTGCCATTCCGAAAGATTGCAGAGATAGAGCTGTTTCAGTGTACAGCTAATGACTCGTAACTACAATTAATTGTCGGTATACAGACTGGCTACGTGCTGGACGATGGTCGGAATTTGAGTCCCGTTGGAAATAATATTTTCATTTCTCCATGTCGTCCAGACCGCCTATGGGGCTCACCCATCCTCCTAGCCAATGGGTACCGGGGCAATTTACCCGGAGGTAAAGCGGCCGGAGCGTGAAGATGGCCATTTACCTCCAACTAGTGCCGAGGTCAATAAAACGTGGGTCAATACATCCAGTCCCCCATACATATTTACGACGTAGTGCTTCATTAGTTAAGCACAGGGATAACTTTACCTTTATTATCCAGCCAGTACAGGGGCAATACCACATTATGTCCTTCCAGAGACGAATGAAAAGGACGGGGCAGGCGTTATGTGATAATTAAAATGAGCACAGCTTATTATATTTATGTTCTCATGTCGCCCCGAGTTTCCTAAAACGTGTTTTGACTTACCGTTTACACTTTTTTTTTATTGCTAGTGGGGTGGGACTAAGTCCCTTGCACTGCGGCTACTTCTGGCCTATTGTAACAGACCCAGATGATAGGTGAGGGTGACTGTGGAGCATTGCTGGAATGAAGATTGGCAGGGGAAACCGAAATACTCGGAGAAAACCTGCCCCAGGTTTGTCCACCACAAATCCCACTTGACCAGACCCGGGATCGAATCCGGGCCGCCGCAGTGGGAAGCCAGTGTTATGTTTGCAACTCTCAAATACTGAAATATAATGTTAGAGTTGGCAACATCGTAGTAAACAATTTAAGAACTAGGTTATTTCTTGTTACTTAAGTGATGTTTACTGTTATGTGTAAATACAGTTACGTGTGTAACAGCAGTATCTTTCTTTATATTGTTATGTGTTACTATTGTTATAAGTTTGTATGTATATAAGGTGTACTTCTGTGTCAAATTTCTGAGTCTTAATAAAGCAGGAGTAGCGTGAACACTGATTCTTACTTATCATTCGATCTACGGGAAACTGAAAATAACAGCCAGCGACTAACCGCTTGAAGAAAACGTGTTACAGAAAATATACCGATTGAGACAGCGAGGTTACGTCAGTAGTGCTGTGCACATGCCTTTCAGTTATTTTTTAGTCTACCTCCCACCCGTCTGGGGCGCTACTAGTACAACATGGCCGCTTAATGTTTTGTGAATTAGGATAAATTTGTGTAAAAATTTTCATTTGTGTCCGTTTATAGCAGCATTGCTTTCATATACGGGTTGATATTTCCTCTGAATGGAATTATACAATAATACAGTTTACGGGAACTGCACTACATTTGCTCGATAATGGCAATTTTAATTGAAAATAGGCGTAGTTTTAGCATGTGCCTGATGTGAACGAAACTGTGATTTTAAAATTATTGCGTTTGCAGAGTGACAGGTAATTAACAATAAAGAAGACTCAAAGGTAAAATGGAATCCTCTCCTGTGTGTTCTGTTAGTGAAAGTGAGACTTGTTTTAGTCAGTGTGATGCAGGAGCACACAGTTTTCAGCCTTCGTTTGATACCACCGGTGAAACTAGTGAAATTCTTAGCAGAGTGTATCGACCACATGGTACATTGGCACGAACACTGTACCACAAATATCTAGCAGATGAACGACTACAAAGATATGATAGAAATAAGGTAAGGGTCATTTAACTTCTAATTAAATCATGTCCTAACAGTAATTACATGATGTATAATACCATGTTACTTCGAATATAAGACGCACATTTTAGACAGTTTTCCTGTTTGAGAATTGAGGAATGTGCAGTTCCCCCCCCCCAAAAAAAAACCTTATTCAGAAACTGGATACATCGTAAATTCCAGGGCATCATACATTTGAAGTAGTACAGATATGCAGTAAAAGTTTTTGTGTACACATAGAACTGTCATTGTGTGTACAAACTTTTCATAGAGCCATTCATGTTTCACAGAGTTCCACATTCCTCTTGGATGCTTAGACTGTGTAATTCGTTTAACTTTGCATAATATAAATATCCATATATGTATCTGTGTGTGATATAACCTCGGTCAGTTACATACATGTGCACATAGAAGTTCTTCTTATGGACTCTACATTATTGCTATTAAAGGTGTGTGTCACAAGTTGTAGGTTTGATAGCTGTAGGTTGATGTGGAATTTGTAGGAACAAGTTCCTTTGTGACACAGTTTGTAAGCACTTAATCGCGGAGATATGTGGGACACTTTTTCCAAGTTCTCAGCCATACTATTAGATTGTAACAGTATTATGTATTCATAGCAAGAATATTTTATATTCAGACTGATTTGCTTTATTTCTTTGGTCAGTGAACCCTTGATTAAGTGTGCTAAGAAAATGTACACTATGCTTTGATCTTCAAAACCGAAGCTGGCTGCCCTTTCTGAATTTGAAATGGGATACAAATTTTGCATGTTTTCTGCATGTGGCATTATATAATAGAGGTCAGGGACCAAACCTTGAATCTCTTAACAGGGTTGTAGTTTCATTACTGTATGCAGTACTAAAAGGGTAAGGCTGTCCTCGTAACAGGTCATGGAGGCCCATAGGGTTGTGAGACGTCAAAGCTCCCACATTTCTAGACAGTTGGCTCCCAGATGGCAGTGAGGTTGTCAGCCTCACACACAAGCCACCTTTTACCCCCTGGAAGATTCATAGTACTCATTTCTGTTGGAACCTAAGTCGACCCCAGGGCCATAGTGCAGCAGGAAAGATTAGGTCAGTTGAAAAATCCATTGACCTCATCAGGAATCGAACCCATGACTTTCCAAGTTGTAGAGCATATTGTATCAACCAACTCTGCCACCATGTTCTGCAATCAGTGTTTTCTCTATACAGCTGGTAAGATCTCAGTTTAGTTATTGGATTATTACCGATTTGCACTGAGGTACAGCTGTACGCAGCATTCCAGTAAGTCATCATCATCATCATCATCATCATCATCTTCTTCATCAACAACATCAACATCATCATCCTTTCTGTTGTTAAGTAGATTGAGACATGTTACAGATATTATAAAACAGAATACTGACATTGTTTTGGAGGTTATTAGAAACTTCCTTTTCTTTTTTGTTGATATTTTGAGGTTTTATTCTGGCACCTTGTCAGAGCTAAACCTGTTCATGTGTTCTTTCCAGTTTCTTCTGTACCGTTATATAAATTCTGCTATTTGTGGAATTTGTAGTTCTCTCACAATGTTTCCTTTCCTTTTCTGGTCCAGAGGACTGCATCCCAGAGCCCTCCTCATGAAATACATCTATGCTGATAGCGTCCTCCTCTCATCAGTTCATATTCATAAGGTACATTGTCATGTCATCATTGTATATTTTGCTTCTGATTGGTTCTGTAATAAGGAATGTTAGGCTACATAACGATATACTGGGTGAACCATGAACTGGAAGAACTATTTCATCATCCATCACATCAGGAAGCTCCAGATAAAATTTGCATGGTTTCAAGGGAGAAACATGGTACCTGAAACAGATTATTTGTATACTCTGTCTTTTATGAGATGTCAAGGTCATTTTCACTTTCTTTTAAAGTTATAACGTGCTTTTTCACTCCCACAAAAGTTGTACACCAGATCAGTGTGAATCAAATGACCGTAAACTGAGTTCCATTCCAGTGAACCATTTATGTGATATTCTGACTCATAGTAAACTGTCCTGCAGGATTAAGCTTTCCCAGTCTGGGAAAGAATTAGACACAGCAGATCACATCTGTAATCACATGAATGGTTTGTCAGAATGGTACTCAAATTATCTGTTGCTGGATTTATATTGATCTGCTCTAAAACTTTTGTGGAAGTAAAAGAAAATAAATTCTGAAAAACAGTGAAGCTTACCTTGATAGCTTACAAAATGCGCAGGATACAAATATGTAATCTCTTTCATGTACCATGTGTTCACCTTGAACCCACAGAAAAATTTATTTGAAGAGTTTTCTGAAGGGATGGACAGTAAAGGAGTTATTCGAGGTGATAATGATATGTGTGCTTGTGTCTGTATATCTATCTGTATGTATTGTAATGTGTATCAGTGACTAAAGACGGGGTTCAGATTGATAATTTGACTTATTAATCACCTACAGGTCATAACTACAAATAATTATTACACTATTGCTGATTTACACACTTTACAATCAATCCACGCTAATGTTCTCGGTCTATTTCCACCTGTCTTCACCATCTGTTTCCTGACAATGGATCTCAACACAGGAACAATAAAAGTCTCACTAAATTACACACTCCCAATATCGATGTACTACAGCACCTGTAATGTCACACACTAAGTTTTCTCATTCTTCTGGTCACACTGCTGTTCCCTTGGAATTTCAGAACTCAAGTGAAGCCCATCTATCACTCCTCCAGGTTAGGACTGACCGCAAATGACATTTTCTGTCCCCCACAAACCTTTGGCTCGGACCTACGAACACGACATCAAGTGGTCTCTATCCACTATTGTGTGACGTCTGCCTACACAGAAGTGTGTATACCGAGCTGTTGCCCAGAAACGGCTCGCATAACCCCGCTGTGCTATTGTTGCGTGTGTATAGTGCAGGGTTGTTTATTGAGCCGTTGCTTAGCAATGCTTTGTCATCACATATGTATATATGTGTGTATATTATTATTTCAGAAACAGAAGTTTTAATTATATAGATTGAATGTTGAATACTTTGCGATGAATAGTAGGAAATTTTGTAAATGTATTAACTGAATTTACTGTGAGAGATTATTTAAGTTTTCTGTCAAACACTGGATGCTAACAGCCCCAAAATGCCACTTTGAGGAACTTCTCTTCTTCCCAGAAATAAAAGTTTAGAATATTGTCAATCGGTACATTTTATTAGCTCATAATTGGAACACTGCAGGTTATGGAAGTTTTCCTAATGTAAAAATTGATCCAATTTTTGGTCATAAGAAATTTGAAAAGAAATTTTTGCAATTAATATTTGAACTGTTTGTTATAATTTGTTATAATGATGACAGTGTGCAGTACGATTTGTGAGCCTTCACAAGTTGATATATGCCTTGATCCCAGAGTGAAACTTCATGTGCCTGCTTTGACAAACAGCATAATTATTACATCAGACTGTGCACGTTATCGTGCAACATAAACATGACAAGTTACAGAGAATTCACATTTTAAACATGTTTTATTTATTATATGCTGAGAGAAAGATGCATAAAAATTATTGCTGAAATGTTTTTAGATCCTTTCAACCTGTTTTGACTGTGTATGCAATATATCTCATGCCCCCTTCCCCTCTTATGATGATGTACCCCCAGTTCATAACCCCTGATTTATATTTTCATGAATTGTAAACTATATACCTCAGTTATGACATATCTCATCATCTTTTTCTTGGATGTACCATGGGTCTGTTTTCTTTCAATCGTAATTGTAATGCCCTTCTCCATATCCATGGTCTGCTCTTTCGTTTTGTATGACCACACGATTCACTATGGGCTGGACAACCAAGGGGTTGGAGTTCGAGTCTCGGTAGGTTTAATAGTTTTTTCTTCTCCACATCATCCAGACCTTCTCTGTGGCCCACGCAGCTTCCTATGAAATGATGGTAAAGCGACTGTGGCATGAAGCTGACCATTCACCTCCATCTAGTGTGTTGAGATCAAGAAAATGTGGATCTATACATCCATTCCCCCATACATTTTCGTGGCATAGTGCTTAATTAGTTAAGCACAGGGACAACTTTACATTTTGTATATAAAGGAGGCCATCTGTAGTAACATATGCACTAACTCATGACATCCACATTTCTTAATAATAAATTCCTCTCAAAAACTGCTTTCTCAGAGCTGAGTCATATCTAAGACTGCACAGAAAAACTACCGTTGGTGCAATAAATTAATGGGTTCTGGTTCTGCGCGTTGTTAAGTATGTGTTTAGTAATTATGAAGGGTGCAGCAGTATTCTGGCCTGTAATGCTGTGTACTTCAGAGACGGACAGCCTGAAGTTTTGTGGGGAGCATATTGCAAGCTGAAGTGGCCCAGCATGTCACCTGCTTCTGCTGGCTTCTTGCTTGACTCTGATCATGGAGGCAGTATCTTTCTTGAAGACGTTTGTCCCTCTCTGAAGTTCACAGTATAATAATCCGCAGATTAACTCTGTAGAACCTCATTTGGAGAGACGGAAGAGAAACATGTTGTGTGTTCAGCAGGCTTGATGACTTTCGACTGTACTTGTAGTCATCTTAGTTTTGTAATTACTGTTCGACTGTACCTCAGCGGCAGGAGAGTTAAGTGCTGAACACTATCTTCATATGAACATGTTCATTGCACTGAACTGTAAGCAGATACATACGTATTTTGTTGAAACCCATCTGTTGGTACATTGCGCCTTGAGTAGACAAGCTTGTGGAGGAAGAGGCCTGTGTGTTTAAGGTTGTCTCCAGTATGGCAATTTGGATTCCCATCGTATGAAAATAGAATTTAATAACTTCTTAATGATGACGTAGCAAACTACATCGCTGTATAATGGCGGTGCACTCTCAGAGGTGTTCTAGACACACTGTAATGCATTTTCAAGCAGAGTCACAAATGATCCTGTATGCCTTTATCTTGATGTCCTTGAGTTCCATGCGGTTTTGCAATTAATATTTTTTGTTACTTTAAGTAAATT